TGATTGTGATGTGGTGTTTGGGACACTGTGCTGGAGTAGCTTTCAAATTTCATTGTATTTGTAGAATGCAATGACAATAAAACTATTCTATTCTATTCTATTCACCAGAACCAAATCTATACTAACCAATGTAGTATTTCTAGTACTGCCATCATCTCTATAACCATACATCTGCTTTCCAGAATTTTGTCATATTTCATCTTGTATTGATAAAGACTGTCTTCTTATTATCAAAGCAGAGGAAGATATCTAGTACAGTAAGTGTTTAAATTATTCAGAGATGCAGGGATACATGAAGAGCTAATGAAACAGAGCAAGGTTATCCCAAAACCTATTTTGTATTTTGAACAAATTAATCCCAAAAATGGAAGGTATCTTTAGGAGGGTCTCCTGATCTTAGCCTTCAGACTGTCTCATATTGAGATAGTTCTTCAGATAGCCTTGAAATCATTTAAAGTTTAACATCTTACATTGTTTTTGACAATCACTGTAAAGTTTATAACACGTCTAGTAATTTAACTGCTGTATTTTAGTTAAATTTCTGGAGATTCAAATGCAGTACTGCATATAACACATTGCATGGTCAGTCAATATGTAATTAAGGAATAGGTGACTCCTACTAAATCTTCTAGCTTAGAAGTAGTTGCCACTAGGTGTAATTGTGCAGTTGCACTCTTTTCCAGCACTGTCACTTAAGAATCCAAATATTATTGAAAAGTAAGAAGTATTTCCAGATCATTCAAAGGGATTATATAATATATATTCATCTAGAATAGAGAATATCCCAATCCCTGATCATCATACTTATTGATCAGTTCATTTCTGCTTCAGCATTTTCTTCATTAAAATCAGAGGTCGTCAGCTAAGTCACAGGTCTCCAAACTTGGCAAGTTTAAGACTTGTGGACTTCAACTCCCAGAATTCCTGAGCTAATATGACTGGAGAAGGAATTCTGGGAGTTGAAGTCCAAAGTCTTAAAGCTGTCAAGTTTGAAGACCCTTGCCCTAAATCATGTCACTCACTAGATCAGGCTTGAGTTGGAGGCTGGGGTGGGTGCAAATGTACAGTGACCCAGAGGGTTGCAGCTGTCCCCCCACTTGCAGGTTGCATTGCCAAGCGGGCTTCCCCTCCCGCCTCACCAGCTGCCCATGGGTGTCATCAGCAATCTGGCTGGTGAGCTTGATCATCCTGCTGACAGCAAAGAAAAAGTGCAGCAACACATGGAAGGTGGAGAAGAGCAGTGCCATCATCACCTGTTTCTCCCGCCTTTCCAGCTCGTTGGCAGCCAGCCGGAGAAGGTGGAACCAGGTGGGAGAAAGGCTGGGAAAGCGAAAGCCACCCCAGAAGAAGCAAGCAGGTTCAGCCTCCCCCCACTTGCCTGCTAACTATCCAAGCAACCCTGGGCATTTTAATGAGACATATGAGAGCACTCCCGTGCATATGCAGAGAGCTGCAGGGTGATGGCCTGGCTCTGAAAGAGATATCAGAGTTGGTGTGCTTTTCCTGCTTCTGTTGCAGCTGTCTTGGGCAAGGTGAGTTTGGCGGCGATAGAACGAAACGTCTTCCAGCTCTTCAATATTGAGTTTAACAGGCATGATATTCCCCTCAGAAAAAAAAATCGGGGCCGGCCAAAGAAATTGCCCGCCCGCCCGCCGCGCGCGCGTGCCGCGCGCTCCCGACCACCCCTCACACCGACCGCCCCTCGCACCGCCCGCCCCGCGCGCCCGCCGCTCGCCTGCCCCTCGCACCGACCGCCCGCCCGC